ATACCAGTTTTAACTTCCACACCACTGGTAGACCTCCACTTCCTCAGAGACATGTGACAAGGTCACTAAGGAGACTTCAGGGTAGAAGGGTGTCACATCACGGCGAAGCTCCGTGAGGAAGTGGAAGGACCCGTTCGAGGGTGAAGGGAAGGCTGTGCTATCGCCAGGAGTCTGTCCGGCGGCTTTCCTGTGTGTGCGCGGTGGCGCCCAGTGCCACCTCACGGCGGGGTTGACTCTCCTCCGGACACATCTTTTTATTCTAACATCTCCACAATCCTGATAGGTTCGAAGATTGCCTATTTCGTAGCTACGTAAGCTAATGAAAATAGATTACATTCTCAGAAATTACTTTAAATGTATTAAGGGGTACATAGATTGTCAGAATTCCTCTAGAGCCTGTCAGAGTAAAAATGGATGAAGACGACCGTCCTGAAGAACTGGGCAGCGGGGGGCACCTGCCGTACCCACCTGCTGGTCACTGCCTCTGCTGGGGACCCTTCAACAGTGATCACTCAGTGTAGGGCGATCATCAGACAGTGGGCGGATGAGCAGTCATTTCAGAGAACAGTTACCATAGGCAACCAAAAGCTACCGTTGACATTAATTACATCTCCATCTATTTTCTGATAAATGCTGTCCTTTGAGATGAAGGGGCAGCAATGCCCACAGATTAGAGCACCTTGACACGGCGACATGTCCTGCTGGGGAGAAGCTCGGGGCTGGCATTCTCCACAGAGGTCGAGAGACGCCGCGGATAGGCTGAGCCCGGGGCATAGCTGCCCACCTCCGCGTCCCTGCCGTCTCTTCCTTTGTAACCAGAGCAGTTTGTATCTGCGACTTTGGCCTTCAAACAGAGTTGAGCACAGACGAGAAGATCATAGTTTACATGAGCGCAGTTGCTTGAGAAGTACAGCGTCTGCCGCTGCTTATTGGAAAACCGTGTGTACAACGAGCCGCAATGAAGGAGAAATACATTTTAGTTTGAACTATGAAATTTGAAACAATTCAAAAAATTAAACAATTTAATTCTGATAGACAGCTGTACATATTTAATTTTCAACCATCTTAAAACACCATGAAAAGCAGCAGCCCCCCCCCCTTGGTACACCTTACACAGGTGAAGAGTCACCCCACATAAAGTTCAGGGTTAACCGCCTCCCAGAGGGTTTGTGGGGACTCACTGAGTGCAGGCAACAGGCGGACGGTGAGGCGCCGGGATGGGCTTCAGTACTGGTCTGGGGTGTCCGGGAACTTGGGGGCCCCATCCCCGTCTCCGGGGAGTTGCAGGCTGCCCTTAGGGGTTGGAGGGGACCCAGGGCGGGAGGCCAGCAGGAAGGCCGGGGCCTCCGTCATCCACAGGCTCTCACCAGTTGGTTGCCAGGCCTTCTGAGATGTCAAGAGAAGCTGGAAGTCCAGATTTTTCTGTGAAATCTGATTTTTTAATTTAAGTTTAACAGTTAAGTGAATTCAAAAATTCTGAAACAACGCACGGGCCCACTAGAACACACCTTTCTGCTGAGCGGGCCACCGTCTGTGTGGCTTCTGCGTCACCCTGCTCTAGGGTCTGCATTGGAGGTGCGCATTCCTGTTGACCAGTTCCTAGGACAGATGTTACCAACCATGTGACGTTTTCCAAAACGCTGGTTATAACCTGCTCCGAAGCAAACTTGCCGAAAGTTCTTTAGGGAACGAGACCAGTAACTACTCTGGCAGGGATTGAAGACGGCCACGTGATTAAGCTCTTTAATCTCAGCTTTGAAAGGCTTGTGTTTCTAACTTACTTTTGACCTGTAATTACAAATTTTGCGGGAACACCAGGAGATGACTTTGGGTTAAACTTGTCATGGAATCTCTAGCCTGAGTCTGATTGTTTTGTTAGTAATTAAAAATACACGAATGCTCAAGTTTAAAGAACTGATGAATGAGTGGCCTGTCTGAAAAAGAAGTGAACCAGCCGTCGATAGGTGGAACTGAATTGAAATTACTTTAAGCATTTCTGATACAGTGTCATCTGAAAGAAGAACGTGACCCCAGTGCTGGGCGATGAGTTACCCACAACGAAGGCCAGATACGGCTTCTCAATGGATTTAGTATTTTCTTATAAGCCCGTGTCACGGGGTTGGGTTAAAGTAGTAAAGTTAGGTGGTGTGAATGGGCCTGGCTCCGAGTTCCCCGCCGTGTTCAGCTCACAGGCGAGCCCCGTGTGCGCGGGAAAGAGCAGAGAGGGCTACTGGGAGGGAGTCCCGGTCTGCAGGACTCAGCGCTTCCTGACGAATATCCGTCTCCTTCCCGGATTCCGCCTGCCAAGAACAAATTAGTGAAGTCTTTCTCCCCACTTTCTAAACGCATCAAAGCTAAGTTCTCAAATAAACCTTGTTTGCCACACAGTCCATTGGACACTGTGTAGATAATTAAGTTGGACATAATTACTCGCAGTTGCTCTTCAGAGATGATGTGTCTGCACTCCCATAAGGGACTGGAACACTGTGCTTTGAAAAAACGTAGCAAATTCTGACCCCCAGGAGGGAACAGGAGATGCCACTTGAGACTCTGGCTCAGTCCGGCCAGGACTCCAGGCCAGGCCCGGGCTCAGCATGGTGGATGCAGACCCCACGAGTCAGAGCCTGGAGCAGCTGGCCCTCTCCAGGAGGCAGCCCCTCCTGTAACCAAAGCCCTCTCAGGCCGGGCAAGTGTTCCAGAACCGTGGGGGAAGAATGGAGGGCCCTGGAGGCAGCTGGGTTGGTGGGACCTTGGTAAATAGGACTGCCTGCAAGGAGGGGTTGTGGGGCAGTGGTTTTATCAAAACTTGCTCCTCCTTCAGTTTGGGGCATGCACCCGTGCGTGGTGCCTCTGCGTTTGACTTCAGAGGAACTGCCGACTGTCTTCTGCAGCTGCGGCACCGTTTTGCATTCCTGCCGGCAAGGATGCGATTCTGTTCCTTCACATCCTCTCCAACACTTGTGATTTTCTGGCTTCGATTACTGTCGTCCTGGAGGTGTGAAGTGGCTTCTCATTGTGGCTTTGATTTCCGTTTCCTAGGGGCTGATGATGTTAAGCATCTTTCATTGTGCGTGGTGGTCATTTGCATATCTTCCTGGGAGACCTGTGTAGTCCTTTGTCATTTTTAAATTAGGTTTTGTGTCCTTTGTTGCTGAGCTGCGAGAGTTCTTTGTGCGGTCTAGAGCCTCTGCAGAAGTGAGGGTTACAAGTGCTTTCTCCCATCTGTGCAGTTGTCTCTTCTCTTTCTTGAGATTGTCCTGTTATGGTTCCAATTTTAGTATCTGTGCTGCCGAAGCGATTGTCCATAATAGGACAGAGGTTGTCCTATTATTGTCCTATTATGGACAAACGTTTTTCCTTTCAATGAATCCAGTTCATCTGTTTTGTCTTTTATTGTGCGATCTTTTGGCGTCATAACTAAGAGTCCATTTTCAAATCTAAGGTCATGAGGATTTATCACTCTGTTTTCTTTTTTAAGAATTTTATAGTTTTAGGTCTTGGATCTATTTCGAGTTGATTTTTTGTTATGTGGTGTGAGGTAGGTTCTGAATTCATTCTTTGTCATGGTTCAGAACCTCAGAATTAATACTCATAAAAGATAACCATTCTCTACAGTCTAAGAAATAATTTATAACATTCAATCATTCTTCTTCTGTTTAAAAGAGAATCAAATATATAAATAAGAGCTAAAACTATAAAAATCTTAGAAGAAAGCATACCAGTTAATCTTTATAACTTTGGAATTGAAAATAAATTCTTATATATGACAACAAAAGAAAAAGCAACTAAATTAAAAAATAGATATTGGGAAATCCTATATTGGATAAAGGTCTAGTATTTGATCTATATAAAGAGCTCTTACAACTCAACAATAAAGCAATAAAGAACCCAGTTTAAAAATAGGCAAAGGATTTGAGTAGACATTTCTCCAAAGAAGACACAAATGGCCAATAAGCACATAAAAACATTCAATATCATTAGCCATTAGGAAAATACAAGTTATAACCATGAGAAACCATACCACACCCTGGAGAAGAGTTCTAATAAGACAAATGGACAATAATAGGTGTTGACAAAGAAATGGAGACATTGGGACCCTCCTGCATAGTTAGCAAGGATGGAAGGTGCTGAAGCCACTTGGGAAAACATTTTGACAGTTCCTCAAAATACTAAACTGCAGTTACCAAATGACCCCACAGTTCCCCTCCTGGGAATATCCCCCGAAGAGCTATCCACTTGAAAGCCTGGGCGTGAATGCGTGTAGCAGCTTTATGTATAATAGCCAAGAGCGGAAACGAGCCCAGTGTCCATTCACAGAGGAAGCAGTAAGCAAAAGTGCAGCCAGACACTGGAGTGCTACTCAGCCACGGCAAGGACAGAAGTGCTGGTGCATGTGACAGCATGGATGAGCCTGAGGCGTTCCGCCGCGTGCTCCTGTTGATACAACACGTGGAGGAAGGGAATCCACAGAGACTGGAGCAAACTGGTGGTTGCCAGGGGCGGGGGAAACGTGGGAAGTGACTAACGAGTGGAGTTTCTTTTTCGGATGACGAGGATGTTTGCAATTAAATATTGGTAATGCTCCCTGGCTGGTGTAGCTCAGTGGATTGAGTGCAGGCCTACGAACCAGAGGATTGTGGTTCGATTCCCAGTCAGGGCACATGCCTGGGTTGCAGGCTAGTTCCCAGCAGGGGACACATGAGAGGCAACCATACTTTATATTTCTCTCCCTCTCTCCTTTTCTTCCCCTCTAAAGGTAAATAAATAAAATCTAAAAACATATATATATTGGCAATGGTCGTTCACCAGGAACATACTAAAAACAGTAAATTGTGCGCTCTAAAAGAGTGAGTTTTAGGATATGTAGAATAGCCCAGTGAAAATAAATGAATTTTTAAAATATTTTGCATGCACAGATTTCGTGTACGAGATTTCGTGTACGAGCACTGTTAAAGCAGTGCTCGTTTGATGTGCGCCTTAAGAAAATCTCTCTCTTTTAGGAACTTATCATGGCACCCCGCACTGACCACTAAGAGGAAAATGCGAATTCCACATTCCAATGCATTTATCGATCTGACCGAAGACTTCACAGCAGGTGAGTTGCACAGAAATGTGAAATATTTCTTTTGAACTGCTAGAGCATTATGGGATTTTATTTACTGTTTTCTTAGTAAACATTTTCTCTTGAATTGTGTTCAAACCGAAACGTTTGAAGGTTGGGAGGAAGCCTGTGGTGCCGGACGAGTGGAAAACCACTGGGTGTGATGAGCCGACCCCCCCACCCACCCCCCGCTGCTCCTAGTGGTTGGGGGGGGCACATGAGAGGCTGAGTTTTCCAGCCATCGAGCATCCGTGACAGTTCAGACAGCTGTTGCCTGGTATTTCGTTCCCTTTCCACTTAAAAAGTATTGGCTAATGAATGTCGATTTAATTATAAGAAAAATATGTAATTCACATATTTAAAGTTTCCAAGGCTTTAAAACACTTCAGCATAGGAAATTTTAAACGTAGAAAAGCAAACCAAACAGTACGGTGCACGCACACTGAATGGGCGCCTGGCTGTCGGGCAGCGAGAGGGTTTCCAGGGCAGAGGGTGCGAGAGGGACGGTTGTGTTACTCTCCCGGGGGCGGGGCCCGGCCAGGTGTGGAGTTGAGCACCAGCCCCAATGGGCCGAGGCAGGGGGCTGTGGTCAGGCTGCAGTTGGTGTCGGTGGGGGCAGGAGCCCTCAGCTCAGTCATGGTCACGGTGTGTCCCTGGTGTGTTCCGTTCGTCGCGTCCTCAGAGCCTGTCACCTACAGGGCACTTGTGGTGACTTTCTGGTCCTGAGGGCAGAGGCTCGTAAAAGCACTGGGGCGGGCCACGCGTCTGGGGCGGGCCAGCTCTGGGAAGGAGGCCTGAGAAGGGGCCTTCCAGCTCCGTCCTTGTGCTCACCTGTTACTCCACAGCCACTCTCCCGCCTCGGTCTCCGGTTTTGACAGCTCCACGCACGTCAGGTGCCTGACACCTCCTGTGTTTATGGTCTCAAGAGCGGCTCGCGTCACCGGGCACCGCCCCTCAGGGGAGCCCCTGTGGGCAGGGCTTCCTCTGAAAATACTGGTTTCGTGTGCCACCCATTCAGGCCCTGTCCCCGTGCTGGCTCTGGTGCACGACACTGCAGTGACCCAGGGGGCGCAGTCGAGTCCTCCCCACAGCGCCACCGTTCCCTGCGGCCTGTTCCCAGGGGTGGGTGGGGTTGCTGGTCCGGGCAGCTCTGTTTTCAGTGCCTCGAGGAGCCCAGCGCCCCCTTCTCCCCCGGGGCAAAGCCGCAGTCCTCACCCACACCACTGTCTTCTGTCCTTCTGACACCAGAAAAATGTCTTTACTGTTAGAAGTGCTTTTTCACTCATACCCCGATTTCGATAAACACTACAAAGAAGGGTCCGATCTCAGGGCTCGGGCCGAGTAGCTGTTCCCTCTGCCCGGCGTGTTACTCCTCCAGGGACCTCAGCCGCCTCTCTCCGGTCACGTCTCCGAGTGCACTTCACTCCCTTCTGGCCTCACTGCAGCGCCGCCGGCTGCCCTCGGAGGCCTGCCGCGGTCGGATGGCAGCTGCCCAGCCCCGCTCGGCCTTCGCTGCACACTCGGCACACAGTGTTTGCTGGGTGACTGTCGCTCGCTTTGCTGTGTCTCTGCGCCCTGTAGCATGAACTCCTCCAGGGCAGGGGGGTGTTTTTTTGTGCTCGTCTCTGTTTCTCTGGCGTCTAGTACCAAACAGGAGTGTGACAGGTGTCTGTGGGACACACAGTCACAACTGAGGCCCCAGAAGAGGCCCCGAAGGCCCTCAGCCTGTGGGTAGGTGCTGCAGCTGTCGCTGATTGGCTGGCCTGTTTCAGCCCGAGATTTCCTGGCTAAAAAGGAAGCTTTTGTTGAAAATGGTGCTTTTTTGCACAAGTTCAGACGTGCATTTCTGAATGGGTTTTGGTTTAAAATTCCACAGGGAGTGTCTCAGGCAAACGGTGCTTCAGAACGTGAGCTGTGGGATCTCATCTAAACAGATGCAGAAAATAACGGAGGCTTTTTTTTTTTCCCCAAGAATCCTGTCCATTTTTCTAAAAAATACAAATTAAACCATTTCAATCCTTAAGACAGCAGAAGGTTATCTTATGAGCCCCTCTGGATGCATTCCTCTTGAACCGATTCAAAGCCTGTTGTGAATAATTGTTGATCTTTATCAGGAAAGATGAAGAGCCCTGTTTTCTGAGAACTGCGGCTGAGTCCCCAACGCCATCCCCGCTCCCGGAGAGGACCGCATGGGGCGAGCAGGGCACACTGGTGCAGTTGCCCGCGCGTCCCTGGCTCTTGCGTGCGTGTCCCTGACACGCCAGAGAGAGACTCCCCGGGGCCATTGGTCTGCCGGAGTGAGACCGCCTGCCCTTGCTCGTTCATAACTGGCGGTGGGTGCCCACGGTGGGGATCCGAGCTTCCCCACGGAGCCCGCCCCTTCCATACCCTCACCCCGCAGACAGTCTGTCTCGGGTGGGGTCCGATCGTCACTGTCCTTGCTGACCCGGAGAGCACTCTCCCGAAGCGGACTGCACGGCCCCCGGCGGAGCTCGCGTCACTGGTGTCAGCAGGCCTGCAGCAGGCTGTCGCAGGTGGGCCTCGGCCCCCAGACACCTCAGGAGAGGGCAGCGGACTTCCGAAGATGCCGTTTGGTGCAGGGTGAAGCAGACCCTCACTGGGCGGCGGAAGCAGGGCCTCACGCGGCACATCGAAACTGTAAGCGCGTGAGATCTACCGAAGCTGAGAGCTGGGGGCAGGGGAGGGGTAGGGACAGTTTCTGCTGGAGACTTCTGGCGACTGAGGCGAGTGTCTTACAGTGATTCCTTGTTAAAGAAAGAAAATAAAGTGCGGCTCTGCTACACTTCACCAAGTGACGTTGCTGCATTGACCCTTAATCACATTTTCACCTAATTGATTATCTATTACCAGATGATACCAATTAATTCACTGGCATTTTGGTAGCATCTGCGCTGTGCAGCCTGCCCAAGTGGCCCTGGACATCTGACCCGTGAGGGGGCCACGCACCCAAGCTGATCAGAAGCGCAGGGAGGAGCCCTCGCCCCTTCCTGGCGTGGAAGGTTCTTCCCATCGTGGGTTTATCGGGCTGATCCATGCACGTGATTCAGAGAACCGGGCTCCTGCGTCAGATTCGCCAAGACAGCCCAGTGTGACACCAGTCCTGGGGGTAGAAGGGGCACCACCGGAATCGTCACCGCTCCAGTGTCACGGGGCCCCATTTGGTCACCGGAGGAGGTGGTGGCACTTTCCCAATTAGCATTCTGAACAGGGTGCCCGCCAGCGAATTGAATTCCTTGCCCGTCAGACAGGATCTGATTTATCTGGGGGCGTTATTGTCTTGGTGACCTTGCTGGGTGTCTAATTTTTTTTCAGGGAGAGGAACGGAGAAGGCAACCTGAATCAAGTTAATATTTTCTTCGTAGGGACAGAGCGCCTCGGTTCTCTTCCAGCTTTTACAAATGACCGTCATTATAGGAAGTCACTGCCGACCGAAGTGAGCTGAGCGAACTTACGGAACAACGAAGCGCAGCAGGTTCCCGGTGGGGGTCGTCCCTGCTCTTTTCGAGGGCAAGAGTCAGAGCCGCGGAAGGACTTCAGTGGCCGCGTTTGCCTCTCACGAGGAGCCCCAAACTCCGGCAGCTCGGTTTCCCCGGGAGTGTGTAGAACCGTGTGAATTCACGCCTTTCCTCTTCCCCTGCCTGGCGCCCCCACCGACCGACCGCTGCCCCTCAGTGCCTCTGCGCAGGCCCTAGGAAGGGAGGGAGAAGGAATTCCGTTCTCTGTGTTTCTCTCCACGTGCGGGAGGGAAGGGGAGCGGGCGGCCGTGCTGTTAAAAGCCTGGGTTCCGCCCGCCCCCTCTGGTGCCCGGTGGGACAGGAGGGCCCGCCCACGTGCAGGTCGCTCTGCCCCCAGGACGGGAAGTCAGGGAAGCGTTGAGAGAGCGGGTCATGCTTCCACGTGCTGGTGAACCGGAAATTCCTGCGAAGGCTCCCGTCCGACACGCAGCCTCCCAACTCAGAGGGGCCGTGTGATTGCCGTGCTCGGGGACCGTCAGGGCCTCCTCTCTGTCCTCTGAGTCGATGCTGGCCCCTCAGTCTGCAGCTGGGGCCACTGGCCTCCGCGCCAGCCTCACCCGGAGCTCCCCGGGGGCGCTCCACGCTGCTTCCTCGGTGGGCTCTGGTTTTCTCGCCGCCCTGCCTGAGCCCCGGGGTCTCCTCTTCCTGGGGTCCCTCAGCCGTGGCCTGCTGACATGGGGAGCCGGACCCCTTCTTGTCCTGGGGCTGTCCTGCCTCACGCCCCTGGCCTCACCACGCCCCTCTGCTCGCCGGGTCCGTGGGCGTCCTGGCGGCCTGCTGCAGGGGCACGTCACCTCGGACTCTGACACGCGGACACTCTGTCCTCGTACACCCACCCAGCCACCTGCCAGAGCACACGTTGTCACCAGCCTCCAGTCCAGCCCTCTGTCACTGTCTCGTGGTGTCCGGGCTGCGTCTCCATTTGTCAGTTTGAGACGGGAGGCTCCCTGCCCACCCTGACCCGTGTCGGTGCCCCGTCTCTCGCTTCCCTCCTCTCCTCCGTCTCTCCCCTTCTCCCTCCCTCCCACCTGCCTCCCCGGGAGAAGAGGGGCGCACGCATTTCAGCAGCTGCCCTGTGCTCTGTCCTGTGGCGGCAGTTCGCAATGCGCTTGCTCCCAGCAGCCCAAGAGGCAAATGCAGGCCTCCCTCCTTGCCCCGCCCCCACGTACTTAAGAGGATGAAAAGGGATCCCTGCCTGTTATCTGCTCCTGTCAGGTTCACTGAAGCAGGGGGTCTTCTGGCTGACTATGTGGATGTAAACGGCGTCAGCAGATAGCTCGGACCCTGGGCCGGCGTGGACCAAGGGCCTGAGGCGACTCAGACTGCATCACATGGTTGGACGATCCCCCATACCGGCTCGCTGAATAGAGATGTGTTTTTCATCGGCCACCCGGCTGCATACTGCTGGCTGTGAGCACAGGCAGCGGCACCGGGCTTTCTGCACAAATGGGGGGCAGT